ATGAATTTTTGGGAGTTAGGCCCATTCGGAAATTGTTGTGGTTCAAAGTTGCTGTTAAGGAAAAAAATATGTATACACCCTACATTCTTTCGGTAAGCCTCGCCAGCGCTGTACGGTAAAAATCGCCACCGGACATGCCTCAAATGAAAGGTAATAACTTGGGGAAGGCCACACTGAAATGAATTTTTGGGAGTTAGGCCCATTCGGAAATTGTTGGGGTTCAAAGTTGCTGTTAAGGAAAAAATATGTATACACCCTACATTCTTTCGGTAAGCCTCGCCAGCGCTGTACGGTAAAGTTCGCCACCAGACATGCCTCAAATGAAAGGTAATAAATTGGGGTAGGCCACACTGAAATGAATTTTTGGGAGTTAGGCCCATTCGGAAATTGTTGGGGTTCAAAGTTGCTGTTAAGGAAAAAAATATGTAGACACCCTAAATTCTTTCGGTTAGCCTCGCCAGCGCTGTATGGTAAAGTTCGCCACCGGACATGGCTCAAATGAAAGGTAATAACTTGGGAAAGGCCACACTGAAATGAATTTTTGGGAGTTAGGCCCATTCGGAAATTGTTGTGGTTCAAAGTTGCTTTTAAGCAAAAAATATGTATACACCCTACATTCTTTCGGTAAGCCTCGCCAGCGCTGTACGGTAAAATTCGCCACCGGACATGCCTCAAATGAAAGGTAATAACTTGGGGAAGGCCACACTGAAATGAATTTTTGGGAGTTAGGCCCATTCGGAAATTGTTGGGGTTCAAAGTTGCTGTTAAGGAAAAAAATATGTATACATCCTACATTCTTTCGGTAAGCCTCGCCAGCGCTGTACGGTAAAGTTCGCCACCGAACATGCCTCAAATGAAAGGTAATAAATTGGGGAAGGCCACACTGAAATGAATTTTTGGGAGTTAGGCCCATTCGGAAATTGTTGGGGTTCAAAGTTGCTGTTAAGGAAAAAAATATGTAGACACCCTACATTCTTTCGGTAAGCCTCGCCAGCGCTGTACGGTAAAGTTCGCCACCGGACATGGCTCAAATGAAAGGTAATAACTTGGGGAAGGCCACACTGAAATGAATTTTAAGGAGTTAGGCCTATTCGGAAATTGTTGTGGTTCAAAGTTGCAGTTAAGGAAAAAAATATGTATACACCCTACATTCTTTCGGTAAGCCTCGCTAGCGCTGTACGGTAAAATTCGCCACCGGACATGCCTCAAATGAAAGGTAATAACTTGGGGAAGGCCACACTGAAATGAATTTTTGGGAGTTAGGCCCATTCGGAAATTGTTGGGGTTCAAAGTTGCTGTTAAGGAAAAAAATATGTATACACCCTACATTCTTTCGGTAAGCCTCGCCAGCGCTGTACGGTAAAGTTCGCCACCGGACATGCCTCAAATGAAAGGTAATAAATTGGGGAAGGCCACACTGAAATGAATTTTAAGGAGTTAGGCCCCTTCGGAAATTGTTGGGGTTCAAAGTTGCTGTTAAGGAAAAAAATATGTAGACACCCTACATTCTTTCGGTTAGCCTCGCCAGCGCTGTATGGTAAAATTCGCCACCGGACATGGCTCAAATGAAAGGTAATAACTTGGGGAAGGCCACACTGAAATGAATTTTTGGGAGTTAGGCCCATTCGGAAATTGTTGGGGTTCAAAGTTGCTGTTAAGGAAAAAAATATGTATACACCCTACATTCTTTCGGTAAGCCTCGCCAGCGCTGTACGGTAAAGTTCGCCACCGGACATGCCTCAAATGAAAGGTAATAAATTGGGAAAGGCCACACTGAAATGAATTTTTGGGAGTTATGCCCATTCGGAAATTGTTGGGGTTCAAAGTTGCTGTTAAGGAAAAAAATATGTAGACACCCTACATTCTTTCGGTTAGCCTCGCCAGCGCTGTATGGTAAAGTTCGCCACCGGACATGGCTCAAATGAAAGGTAATAACTTGGGAAAGGCCACACTGAAATGAATTTTTGGGAGTTAGGCCCATTCGGAAATTGTTGTGGTTCAAAGTTGCTGTTAAGGAAAAAAATATGCATACACCCTACATTCTTTTGGTAAGCCTCGCCAGCGCTGTACGGTAAAATTCGCCACCGGACATGCCTCAAATGAAAGGTAATAACTTGGGGAAGGCCACACTGAAATGAATTTTTGGGAGTTAGGCCCATTCGGAAATTGTTGGGGTTCAAAGTTGCTGTTAAGGAAAACAATATGTATACACCCTACATTCTTTCGGTAAGCCTCGCCAGCGCTGTACGGTAAAGTTCGCCACTGGTTATGCCTCAAATGAAAGGTAATAACTTGGGGAAGTCCACACTGAAATGAATTTTTGGGAGTTAGGCCCATTCGGAAATTGTTGGGGTTCAAAGTTGCTGTTAAGGAAAACAATATGTATACACCCTAGATTCTTTCGGTAAGCCTCGCCAGCGCTGTACGTCAAAGTTCGCCACCGGACATGCCTCAAATGAAAGGTAATAATTTGGGGAAGGCCACACTGAAATGAATTTTTGGGAGTTAGGCCCATTCGGAAATTGTTGGGGTTCAAAGTTGCTGTTAAGGAAAACAATATGTATACACCCTACATTCTTTCGGTTAGCCTCGTCAGCGCTGTATGGTAAAGTTCGCCACCGGACATGGCTCAAATGAAAGGTAATAACTTGGGAAAGGCCACACTGAAATGAATTTTAAGGAGTTAGTCCCATTCGGAAATTGTTGTGGTTCAAAGTTGCTGTTAAGGAAAACAATATGTATACACCCTACATTCTTTCGGTAAGCCTCGCCAGCGCTGTACGTCAAAGTTCGCCACCGGACATGCCTCAAATGAAAGGTAATAATTTGGGGAAGGCCACACTGAAATGAATTTTTGGGAGTTAGGCCCATTCGGAAATTGTTGTGGTTCAAAGTTGCTGTTAAGGAAAAAAATATGTATACACCCTACATTCTTTCGGTAAGCCTCGCCAGCGCTGTACGGTAAAGTTCGCCACCGGACATGCCTCAAATGAAAGGTAATAAATTGGGGAAGGCCACACTGAAATGAATTTTAAGGAGTTAGGCCCATTCGGAAATTGTTGGGGTTCAAAGTTGCTGTTAAGGAAAAAAATATGTATACACCCTACATTCTTTCGGTAAGCCTCGCCAGCGCTGTACGGTAAAGTTCGCCACCGGACATGCCTCAAATGAAAGGCAATAAATTGGGGAAGGCCACACTGAAATGAATTTTTGGGAGTTAGGCCCATTCGGAAATTGTTGGGGTTCAAAGTTGCTGTTAAGGAAAAAAATATGTAGACACCCTACATTCTTTCGGTTAGCCTCGCCAGCGCTGTATGGTAAAGTTCGCCACCGGACATGGCTCAAATGAAAGGTAATAACTTGGGAAAGGCCACACTGAAATGAATTTTAAGGAGTTAGTCCCATTCGGAAATTGTTGTGGTTCAAAATTGCTGTTAAGGAAAAAAATATGTATACACCCTACATTCTTTCGGTAAGCCTCGCCAGCGCTGTACGGTAAAATTCGCCACCGGACATGCCTCAAATGAAAGGTAATAACTTGGGGAAGGCCACACTGAAATGAATTTTTGGGAGTTATGCCCATTCGGAAATTGTTGGGGTTCAAAGTTGGTAGGTTTTTACTATACATTTTTTGGGACAGGTGGGGGCTTTCCATAAATATTTCTATTGATATTTTTTAAATGTTTCTAGCGTTAAGGTTATATTTCTATTGTTTTAAGAAATATTGTATATAAAATACATCTTTGATGTTGTTTTATTGATAAAAACTATATTTTACATAAAGACAATTATGCAACTTGCATAAGGGATTATATTCGAGGACAACGATAATTTACGACAGCTTGAAGGGGTCATAAAACGATTTCCTACGTATTTTTTCACTCCTCTTAACTCTCAATTTTTTATGATTTTCAAATAAGTTTGAATATTGAACCGACTGCTCACAGCTAGTTGGATATAGAATATCGAACCGGCGGCTAACTGCACATATATTAGTTATGTACAAACTAGATATTTCTATACACATTGACACCAATATGCCGAATTTAGAAATCAAGCTAGTGAGTGCTTTCAGTTACTGACGTCATTTGTGTTGGTTTGTTTAACGTTCACTTCTAAGGCTGAACATCTGTGGTCATTTAGACATTTAAAAAATAATACATATATCGTATTTGTAGCTAGAATTTTGAAAAAAAAGTGGCTGCTATCATTATTAGTATTTAAAACGAAAAAATCCTTTGAGAATCACTACAAGCCGTGAAATTGTCGAATTCCGCTCTTAAATTACATTTAACTTAGATTTTGAGATTTTTGGAACGTTCGAGTCTGTTATAGTTTTTGGGTTCTTAGACATATCATCAAAATTGGCTGCTGGAAAAAAGTGGCTGCTATCTTGATTGGCTGCTTAAAGTGGCTGCCAGCTTGAGTCTAGTGAAAAGAAGCCAAGGTTGACATTGTCTTTTCGAAGGGCAACAATCTGCTCTATCACCTCTCAGATATGTGTTATTTAATTTATTATACTGAATGTTCTGTTATTACTGTCGATTAAATTTCAAATTCAAAGTAATAAACTATGACGTCTTGCACATAACAACCATCCGTATTTAATAAAGCGCACACTTGATCAAGCGACTCCGTGAAGGGTAATAGAGTATTTACCATAGGATCGAGTAAATTGACTCCCTCGTATCAACCACTCAAAATCTGGTATTTTGACATGAAGTATAAAAATTCAAAATAGTCACGAATAGCAAGTGCAGTGTCATAGCTGTTGTATTTTATACGGGGAAAAAATATGATATTGAAGTGCTTTTCGATTGTTGTCAGCCAATTAAAAATTACGGATTCTAATGAACCATACATTATGTTTGTAATTAATAAAATATAAGTCCCCCGATAAAATAAAGTCAAAGTAGATTTAAGTTATTGATCGATTGAGGAAGTTTTTCATCTCACAACATATATATATCACTTTATTATTACTGACAGTCAGTGTTTGCATTAAATAAGATACATCGTACAACACAGACAGGAAAGGTTGGTAAAATATGATCATTTCATTGTTGAAAAGAAAGGGAATGATAGTTTTCTGTACATAATCATTTTAGCCTGGTAACCAGAGTCAGAATTTTCTAAATTTTAAAAATCGTCATAACTACAACACAACAAAACATTTTTAATAGGCGTCTTTGTTTGATTTAATTGTAATTATGTTTGAATATTTAATTCAGTTGTGTTGTATGTCTGCTATGCATATTTACACAGTTTTGGCTTCTGGATCACAGTTTTGGCCACGTCAACCAATTATAAAATTGAGATTGAAACGGGGAATGTGTCAAAGAGACAACAACCCGACCAAAGATCAGAAAACAGCCAAAAGACCACCAATGGGTCTTCAACCATTTCTTTACGTCTGTTTGGGTTGCTCCCCCAATTTGGCAATATTATGGAACATAAACCTACTGTCATACAAGTGTAAGTTTTAGCTAGCTACAAAACCAGGTTTAAACCACCATTTTTTTTAGGAAAATGCCTGTGACAGGTCAGGAATATGACATTTGTTTTCCTGCGTTTTATTTAAACAAATGAATGTTATTTTTCCAATTTTCACAAAAATCCACAAGGATCTTTGTTTTATTGATATTACTGTGCATAAAGATTAAAGGAAATTAGATTAGACAATCTAGACTTTTCATAAAACTTATACAGGACGGACAGGCGGATTTATATTGATATAAGGCAACAAGTCGATGTTGTATTACCAAATTATCAGATCCAATGGAATCAAACTATCATAGCCCTATTATCAAACAAAAGTGAAGCAGAATAGGTAATGCAAATCCAACCTTTTGCAATAACAATTCCAAATAAATATTATCATGTGTTAAGAAAAATGATTTGATCGTTTCGTGGATTTTTGCAATGACGAATAAGTGGCAACAAATCTTTCGCCATCTTGTTTACGATCATCACGATCCGAAATATCAAATTTTTACAAATATTCCCATTTCTTTTAATGTTTCTGATTAACTTAATCTGAATAACGTTAAGAACCATTTAAACAGTAATATGGAATGGTAATTTTAGAAGAAGAGTAGTTTATGCATCCAAAATATGAAAAATAATCATGTTTGTTTACATTTTTATGTCTTTGAAATTTCGAGGAGCAATTTGCCCTTTGTATTTTTGTAAAACTTTTAAACCTTGATTTTTCTCGGATACTGAGCATAATGTTGAACCATTTTGACAGACAGTTTTATTTTTCCAATATGTATCATTATTATTGATTTAATTAAATTTACTGGCGTTACATGTCTTCTCGATAAGATTCTGTTCACGATCCTATACTAGATCTTTCACGATCCAATCGCAATACTTGAACACCGTTACTTATTCTTTCACGATCGTTGTTCTCGATATACCGAATGACACCCGTGATGATATTTGCTTTTCGTTTATAATTGTTTTGTAGATAAATCAATGACATGCCGTTGGTTTTGTCGTTTGATTTTTTTTACTTTTGTCATGTCGAATCCTTTATAGCTTGCAATGCAGTATGAGTTTTTCTAATTGTCAAATGACTAGTGTGAAGCTACATTTGTAGCCGTCGATAACAGCCAGCGTTAATATTCATGAGGCCAGCCTGCAATAATATTCATAATTTCATCTGTTTAAATACATATATTTACAAATGTTTATTCGCAAATCTCTTTGCGAGTAAATCGTAATGTATCTAGAATTAGGTTTCTTGCTAGAAATCTTGGTAACATATATCATACATATACTTAGAAATTAGTTTGAATATGTCTTAATTTGTAAATTACGGATAATATTCAGATGCATAATAATTGATGGGAAATTTCAGTACAGAATACTGCAAGTGCGTGTGAATTTGTTTTAATACTTTTTCATCGTTGTATCCACTACCTGTATACTTTTAATTTATGTTTGTTTCTTGTGAATCATTTAAGTGAATTGGGTAGTTATTTGATCTCACTAACAAAAGGGTCTAATTGATGAAAGAACTGTAATTTTGAAAAGACGTATAGACAAAGGTTTAAATAACAGACACAATGGATCAGCTTTGGATAGATAAAAATAAACCATTTACCCTCCAGATTCATGGTTCCTTTTTAACTAACCAATGTTTATCCATCGTATTTAAATTATAAAATTCAAAATCATATTTATATCTGATGCAAACGCAATTAAAAAAAAAACGGAACAAAACTCATCTTACAATATCGATTCAACACTTCACTTTCAACTTGATTGAACACTTCACTGTCATTTCCATAACCTACTACATGTATCATGATTGTTTTCCGGCCTCACTTACGCTCACTTAAAATAGATGCACCCTAATATTACCCAATCAGACATTTAGAAAGACCTTACTTCATACATTCATAGAATTAGCTAAAATTCACCAAGGAGAATCCCTTAACAGATTTACCCTATTGTGACGTGCAGCGAATGCACTTTTAGACCATGACTTAAGTGACCCCGTATTAACATGTAAGGATGTTCAATAACCACATTTTCCACTTAACCTTAACATTTAATAGCCCGTCTGGTTTTTTCCTTAGTTTTGAATAATCATTTTTGCTCAGCAATATCTCTAATTTGCAGTATTTTTTAGTTGCATCTCAAATACACTTCTAATAAGACATTTTGAATAGAGCTAAATATTCTTTTCTTCTCATATAATGCATTATATAATCTAGTGACATTTTTTAATGCTAAATTGTGTTTTATATGATACTGAATGAGCATCTGTTTCCCCGTATAATAGTTAATTCAGAACATTATTGACCATTTTGGTCTGTGCTTCAGACAAACAAGTGTGAACCCCATGTATAAATGCTCTACAAATATATTTACATTGACTCTTCCCATCTGACAGTAAAAGTCATGATAAGTAAGGTGACTATCCTTTCCTTTGTATGGGATGTATAAATATACAGCAAAAATTTTCTAGCGACAATAAAGTTTAGTTTGTTAATTTCCGCTTATAACTATAAATGTTTGTTTGTTATTTTCCCCTTGATACTAGTTATTTCCCCCTTATTACTATTTATTTTTGGATATTATTTTCCCTTAACAATATTCATTTTAGTTTGTTATTTCCCCTTTATAACTATTCATATTTGTATGTAAATTTCTCTTAATACTATTTTATTTTGGTATGTTAGTTCCACTTTTCTGTGAAAGACCTGTTGATTTTGTTCTGATAATTAGGTCTTTCCACTTTTCAGTACAGAATACAAGTGCGTGTGAATTTGTTTTAATAATTTTTCATCATTGTATCCGCTACCTGTATACTTTTAATGTGTGGTTGTTTCTTGTGAATCATTTAAGTGAATTGGGTAGTTATTTGATCTCACTGATAAAAGGGTCTAATTGATGAAAGAACTGTAATTTTGAAAAGACGTATAGACAAAGGTTTAAATAACAGACACAATGGATCAGCTTTGGATAGATAAAAAGAAACCATTTACCCTCCAGATTCATGGTTCCTTTTTAACTAACCAATGTTTATCCATCGTATTTAAATTATAAAATTTAAAATCATATTTATATCTGATGCAAACGCAATTAAAAAAAACAGAATAAAACTCAATTAATTTTAATCACTTTTGCGTTTGATCTTACAATATCGATTCAACACTTCACTTTCAACTTGATTGAACACTTCACTGTCATTTCCATAACCTACTACATGTATCATGATTGTTTTCCGGCCTCACTTACGCTCACTTAAAATAGATGCACCCTAATATTACCCAATCAGACATTTAAAAAGTCCTTACTTCATACATTCATAGAATGAGCTAAAATTTTCCAATGAGAATCCCTTAACAGATTTACCTTATTGTGACGTGCAGCGAATGCACTTTTAGACCGTGACTTAAGTGACCCGGTATTAATATGTAAGGATGTTCAATAACCACATTTTCCACTTAACCTTAACATTTAATAGCCCGTCTGGTTTTTCATTAGTTTTGAATAATCATTTTTGATCAGCAATATCTCTAATTTGCAGTATTTTTTAGTTGCATCTCAAATACACTTCTGATAAGACATTTTGTCCGTATTTTATTTTCCCCTAATTGTTATTCTTTCTGAATGTTATTTACCTCTTGATATTAGAAATTTTCCCCTTATTACTATTTATTTTTGAATATTATTTTCCCTTAACAATATTCACTTTAGTTTGTTATTTCCCCTTTATTACTATTCATATTTGTATGTAAATTTCCCTTAATTCTATTTTATTTTTGTATGTTAGTTCGTTGAAATTTTGTAAATTTTTAATAGAGTTCAATATTCTTTACTTCTCATATAATGCATTGTATAATCTAGTGACATTTTTTAATGCTAAATTGTGTTTTATATAATACTGAATGATAATCTGTTTCTCCGTATTATTGTTAATTCAGAACATTATTGACCATTTTGGTCTGTGCTTCAGACAAACAAGTGTGAACCCCATGGATACATGCTCTACAAATATATTTACATTGACTCTTCCCATCTGACAGTAAAAGTCATGATAAGGAAGGTGACTATTCTTTCCTTTGTATGGGATATATAAATATACAGCAAAAATTTTCTGGCGACAATAAAGTTTAGTTTGTTAATTTCCGCTTATAACTATAAATGTTTGTATTTTATTTTACCCTAATTGTTATTCTTTTTGAATGTTATTTTCCCCTTGATACTAGTTATTTCCCCCTTATTTCTATTTATTTTTGGATATTATTTTCCCTTAACAATATTCATTTTAGTTTGTTATTTCCCCTTTATTACTATTCATATTTGTATGTAAATTTCCCTTAATACAATTTTATTTTGGCATGTTAGTTCCTTTTATTAGGTATTTCCACTTTTCTGTGAAAGACCTATTGATTTTGTTCTGATAATAAGGTGGAAAGACCTTTTGAGTTTGTTCTGATTTTTTTTTTTTTTTCCTCCTAATTTTTTTTTTGTAGGGTATTTTTGTTTCAAAAGATGTCGCTCAGATTTTGGTATAT